TCAGAAATTACGATGCAGTGCGTGTTCAACTTATTGCATTCGATTAGTTGCGCATTTCTGCAAAGACTTCTACGTAGTTAGTTCAGTTAGAATAACTGTGAATTTAAATTTCAAAAAAGTACCGAAAATTTTAGATTAGCATTTTTGTGTAAAAAAAAGTTACAAAAACAGAATGCTTTGGTAAGTAGATTATATTTTATTTTGATAGCTTTACTTCAATTCTAACTAATTTTTAGTTTTTACCCAGAAAAATTTCGAAACAATCGAGACAGCACAAGTTCTTAGAAGGAATAATATTAATTATGAGAATAATTATAAGAATCATGATTCTTATATATTCTTATAATTATAAGAATAATTATAGCAATTATAGAAATAATAATTACAAGAAATATGTTTGCGGTAAATATACATTACGTTGAGCAATGAATTAAAAATTCTTAGGGTTTCTAATACATAAAAATTGGAGTTCAAAACTATTCGGTTTTTAAACCATTTTCAAATAATATGGTTTAGAAACCGCAAGAAAGAAATTTAGCTGGACATTGGAGCTTAGCTTTTCATTAGAAAATGGTCATTGGAGTTAGGTTGTGGTTGAGTTGTGTTTTATCAAAAGAACGGTGGAATATGGTTTCAGCTTAACTGATTGTTTCACCTATCGTAAGATATGGGAAATACATGACTTTTTTGTGTTAACAGCTTTATGGTACAGCCAGCTATGCGTGAATCCAAGTATCGTATTCGTTTAGTCCAATTTCTTTCTGCGTAATTTCTTTCAAATTGCTTCGAACACTCATCTGTCCTGGAATTAAAATAGTATACAAACAGGACATGATTTCTTTTTTTAAGAAAAATCACTAGCTATTAGTAAAAGCAGGGCTCACATAAGCATTTTTTTAAAGCGGGGTAGTATTTAGTGATGCAAAACAAATGGAATGTAACCATTACCGTGCGACATATTGCAAATGAAGCTATTACCAAATGGTTAATATTAAATATTCATACCCATATGAAAATTCAAAGAACACTGTTTTATATTTTTTAAGGCTTCAAAATGTCTATTTTTCATTATATTAATTTATATGTTTCACTAGCACTCATTTAAGTTAAATTATGTAAAATTAAACTAAAAAAATTTGCATAGTATTTTTAAAAAGTTCCTAAAACTTATGATTTGAGGATAGGGAGAAGGTAACTTCTTTCTCGAAAAATATGAGCTACTTTTCTTTTCATTGCTAGGATCCATGTAAGTGATATTCTAAAATTCAATTGCTTAAAAGTTTTAAAGAAGAATCTAAATTGTTATAGTTTTAGAGGGGTGACTAAGGGAAAACTCCCACTCAGATAATGCAAAATATTCTGTTATCCGTTGCTATTCCCCATACGAATATTTTCCCAATTTTCAAAACTTTTTAAATTTCCTCCATTATTTTTCCTAATTTAAGTGTACTATAATTTTTTAATAAAAAGTAATTATTGTGATGAATTCACGCATTCTATGAATCGGCTTCAAAATATGCGAAATAATGGTGTTTTGAGAATTTTGCTTGTTGTAATAATATTGTATTAAAACAATTCAGATTTTATAACCATTACAATAGTAATGATTGCTGAAAAGGGGATCTAAATACTGGAGTCAATTTAAATGAAATGGTCATAAGAGCGGTAATTTTTCAGAACCAAAACTGTATTACGATACGCGAATCAAAAATGAATTACTTAACTTATTCTAAATTTACCGGTAGTAGCAATAAATATCAAGAATTTAATGAATGGAGGAAATGACTGATAAAAAGGGTAACTAATTGTAATAACTTCCGAAGAAGTTGGAAAAATGATTTAAGAGGGCATAATAGCAAACTAAGCACTTCAAAAAGTGATTATTCAGGTATGAAATTTATGTATCCAATAAGGTATTAAAAATATTGTTAGGCAAAAAACCATATTAAAAGTATCGTAAAGACGAAAAGTAACTGCAGATTGTGGGAATGTCTAAAGGGATCATTCAAGTTCAGAATTCGAATGTCATTAAAGCAGAAAACAATAAATAACTGGCGAGAAACGAAGAGGATTTATCGAGTTAACGTTAATCAAGAACGTCAAGAAGTGATAAAATTAAAAATATAAGAATTTAAAGAGCGATGTGGAAAAAGGGGCAAAATTCAAAAGGAAAAAATTGATTTCTGAAAAGAACAAAAATCAAAAACGTCGTCGTCGACTAGCGATTTGTTATTAGCTAGTAACAAATTGCCAGTCGACGACGTTTTGTCGACTAGCAAGTAGCAATTTGGTACTTGCTAGTCGAAGAAATCGTGTCTTGCAAGCAAATGTGAAAATATTAAAAATAAAATAATTTCTTACAGATATTTAAAAACCGAAAATTGAAATTTGCATAAAAAGGCATAATTCAGTTTTCTTTTTAATCTATTTATTCTTTCAATTTTCCTTAGCATTAGTTAAGTTTAAATCATTTCATGCAACTGAACGGAATAATATTAAAAACTACATAAATTCAGAATAAGAAAATAAAAGTTTCGAAGCCAAAATGGAAATTTAAATTGAAAAAGTGTAAAAGTTAAATTTACTCTTTTAATTTTTACCCAAAATGCGTTTAAATTTAAAATTTTTTGTGATAGAAAATTTTAAATAACATACGTATGTTTAAAATTACAAATATTCAAATTGAAAATGAATGAAAGGAGACTGAAGTGTACTTAAGGTAATTGTATATTATGTAAAGATTTGGACTAATTATGAATATTAAGTCAGATTCGCAAAATTAAATGTGTAAGTCCAATATGCGATGAAAAAAATATTTTATTGATGATATTTTAAAACTATTATTGTGATACATTAATAAAGGAGTATCTATTTGTTTCCGTCATTCACGATGGCTAATATGTCAATTTATAAAAATTTAAATTCCAATTGACGAGTTTTTATTGCTATTGAAAGTGAATTTTAACTGTAACCAATTCAAGATTCTTTAGTTTGAACTGAGAAAACAATAGGGATCGGGGAATAATATTTCAGAGAAAATTGTTGAAATGTTATCTAGCATGTAATAAAAATTTTACTTATCGTGCATTATATGCTGAATCAGGGTTTCTTTTTTGTTGTTTGCGAAACTTGTAGGCATTGAGCAAATCACGTGCTGTAATATATCATTGCAGCTTTATGTCCTTAACTTCATTTTAAGTATGAATTAGGGAAAGTAACTTACAAACTTTAAAATATAAAACAGTAATAAAATCAATTTGTTGAGTTAATTGAAACGTTCTGTCAATTAAGTATAGCTATTTGGAAGGTTACTTCTGAGAACAGCGTAATGTTTATTTTATTATCAAATATTGGTATAGTAGTCGACCCCTTCAATATTCTTTCGATTTAATTAATACTATGGCAATTAAAGAAAATATCATCTCAACCAAATATGTCTTAGAAAGAGTTAAAAGTTTGGAGCAATTTCAGAAATCAAATTTTTACCCATTTGATAACTCTCTCGTCAAGTTCTTCTTGTAATTTTAAAAGCAAAGGAGTAATGTTTGCCACATTAATTCCGAATGGTTTCACAATCCATTCTAGTATTTGGCACACATTTCTTTGCAGAAACATATTTCTAAGCAACATATTTCTTGGTAGGCGTTTTCTGCCATTACTTAAAGCCTGGGTCTCAGAAGGATGTTTACATGCACTACTGGCTTTTTAAATGCTCATAATTGTATTTTATGCTATGGAGAGTATTAATAAGAATTGCGTATTGATGTAGAAAAATTGTGTCATATATGCCTGCAGTAGTGCAACAACAGCAGGAAGTTCAGTATAAAAGACTAATACTTTTTTACTAAATTTGAAAAAACAAAAATCTATTTTTCAACACAAAAAAAGTTATAAAACTAAACATACCTTTAAATATGCAAAAGTTTCAACTATTAAGGAAAAAATAATGCAAAATCAATGAAAAAATGAAACTTTATATAAAAACTGTTTTCCTGAGTTCCTTGTCTACTACACTTTAGTTATTTATTTTCAATCATTTTTAAATAACATTTTATATCTATTTTAATACTAGAGAGTACAAATTGGTTCTGTCCGTTTTCAAAAGATGGCTGTTAAAAATGTTTCATAGTGACAGCTGGTTTCGGTGGTTTCAGAGAGGCTGTCAATGATATTCAGGTTATATGACTTTGAGTTTCATACAAAGACCCTGTTTTTTACTTTGTTGAATACGTCAAATTTTGTGGTAACTAAGCAGCATTTGCGGGAGGTATTATGTTTCTGCTTTAATTGGAAGAAAAGTGCAGCTGAAGCGCATCGAATACTTGTCGAAGTTTAGGGTGACAATGCTCCAACTGATAAATTATGTAGGGAATGGTTTCGACATTTCAAGAATGGTTAATGGTGAATGAAGAATGGTGCTGCATACTATGAGCTGCTACAACCTGGCGATTACATTACGGGCGATCGGTATAGGCTACAATTGATTCGTTTGAGCCGTGCATTACGAGAAAAACGTCCGGAAACGAGCAAAGACATGATAAAGTTATTTTTCTGCATGATAACGGTCAGCTTCATGTCACAAAAGCTATCAAAAATTATTTGGAAACGCTCAAGTGGGATATTTTACCACATCCGCCGTATTTCCCGAACATTGCTCCTTCTGATCACTAGTTGTTCCGACGGATGCAGCACGATTTGGCAGGTCACCGGTTCACTTCTTTCGCAGAAAATTGGCTCCTAACTTGGATCGCCTCAAAAGACGAGACATTTTTTCGAGATGGAATTCGAAATCTGCCTGAGAGGTGGGAAAAAGTAGTATACAGCGTTGGACAATACTTTGATTAATCTATTCATTCATTTTGTTCTGAAATAAATGCATTTTTGACCACAAGAAAACGGACCGAACTAATTCCCAATATATAGCATAAAAAGTAATTCCTCATATGTAAGCAAAGTTTATTATGAAAATACAATATACGAATTATTTATTGGTTTTTCAGGTTCGCAGTTTTTCTCAGCTAAAAAATGAACTGAAGAAATGTGAAACATTTTACATCGACACAGAAAGAGACTTTTCAATGGATTTGCAACCGGAATCATCGGGAAGTCTACCTAACTTGTCAGGTAACCTATCATTTTAATTTCATTTTTGGGTAAAATCTCAAAACAATGCATGTTTTTTAAAAATCGATGCAAATGTTTAAAGGTTCTCATTTTATTTTTTAAAGTCTAACCAATAGAGTTATATAGGATAGAGTAATTGTAGGATAGTTATAATATAACCAATATATGGTTAATGGGGAAAAACTTGCATTAAAAATAGTTCAAATTTTGATCGCCTGAAAAACACGATTACTAAACAAATCTTTACATAGTCATAACATATATGTTTAAAACGCATTTCAATTTAGTTAAATGCCTGTTTATTAAACGTTATAGCGTGTCCAGCGATAACATAGAGAGTTTCTTGATCTATTGCAACAGTATACCTTCTTATTTTTGAAAGTTGCTTCCGCTTTATTTTGAAAGTGTAGTTAGCCTTGGGTGCTTATGAGACAGGAATAATAATGTTAATTAGAGATTATTTTGAAAATAATTAATACTTATGTTCACCGCATCCGACTTGCACCGACCACAGTGCTGACGAGAAATATCCTCAGTGGTGGACGGATCATGGGTTAGAGTCCCCTTGCCGTCAGGTTAACCGTGAGAGGTTCTCGTGGTCTTCTTCTCCATGTAACGCAAATGCCGGTTAGCTCCATCAAAAAGTCCTCCCCGAAGGCAAATTTCCCCCAATACTCGATCCAGGAGTTCCCGTGTTATCTGGATTGGGTTCAAAATTGCAAGGCTATGGAGTTGAACTTTAGTTGTCGTAAACCCCTAAAATGGGGTCGGCTGTTCAACGACGGTTAAAAAATTTAAAAAAAATACTTAATGTTCACTTCTTTACAATATACCTTTCTAATGAAAAAAAATACTATATAAATGATTATTTTCATTAAATTTTAATTCAGCAGATTATCTCTGTATTTATAGAAAAATTATCAACATTGCAATCGTTACACAATTTAAATTATTTACTGACTGAACGCAAAAAAAGAATAAAAAATGGTGATTAACTCTTGATTTAATGATCGGGACTCAATAGTAATGGTTCGAGGAGGTAACCTTAAATATGGTTAATAATATTTTACATAACAAAACAAACACTAAAATGTTCTTTCTCTGAATACCTCTTTTATGATGGATTCGGATTTTTCTGACCCACAAAATATAGGGAATAGCCGCAATTTGGGAAATATGGTCAGGAGAGTGATCCAAAGTTTGGTCACTTTAATGTTACTTTTTGGGTAATTCTCGAGAAAATTTTAAGCAAATTGAAAAATTTTTCACATAATTTTAAATCGTTTATCCAAAGATATAATTTTTATTTAAAAATAACTTTTGTAAGTCTTTATTATTTATTTCTATTAATTTGAATAGTTATAGTCGAACATTTTTGAATTGTAAGGTACATAATTTTTTGCATCATTTTCAAGAATGTAATTTTACATGACAAAATACACAATTTGAGCGAAAGTGGTCGAATAGTTCCTGCGAAATCAAATTTTAAATGTACGATTTTTTTTAAAATTCGATTTCACAGGAACTGTTTTTTTCCTTCTTTTTTTAACACACTGTACAAAAAAAGCAGTTTGTTGTAAAACTATTTTATGAAAACATAAGAGAGTACTTCAAAAAATTCAAAATTTTTTTATATGGATAGAAAAATAAGTTTAAAGTATTTGAATATATTTTCTGTCAAAATAATATCATTGTTTTGATCGTTATATTTTTTCGAAATATATAGAAGAAAGATTTGATTTTTTAAAAAAAAACAGAGGTGATATTAATCCTTTACGATCAGATTTTGTTGTTAATCAATAGGAATCGGTGGCTGAGAGCAGCCCTTTGACCACAAAAGATTAAAAATGATTTCATGCTTTTTGATAATTTGTATGTTGGTATAATTTCTTTAAAAATATCTTTATTCTTTATTGAACACAGTGTAACATTTGACAGAGTCTACATTGAGGGGAAACATTAGTTCCCCAGACAGATGCACACTTTACACGTAACTTAGAAATAAGTTATAAATTGAAAAAAGGTTCTTTTTATTGCTTAAATTATTTTTATGATTGCATGGCAGTATTATACTATTTAATTCGATGTACCTTATTTGGCAACTAAAATTTTTTGATGAAATTAAATTTTTGTAAACTTCCTTTTGTATTTAGTTGAATATTAATTGAATAATCTCACTCGTTGCAAATAGCCGCCGACATTTTGCAATGCGTCAGGCCAATTTGAGAATCTCCAGCATATTCTAATCAGCCTGACAGTTTTTGGCTTATTATAGTGAATCCACATACATTCAGACTTAGAAAATATAGTGTACATTACTCAATTAGCCAGATTTATTCTAGTTAGTTAGCAATAAGTCCTGAGCGATGAAATCTTGTTTTAAATAGCTTTATTAAAAGTTTTAATGCAATAATCCTAAGCAAACTAGACCAAAAAATAAAAATTCTTAGCCAATTTCCCTAATTGCTATAAGGCATTAGACTGCTTGTAATAAGCTTAAAAATATCAGATTAAAAAGGAATATTAAAAACTTATCCATTTAGCCATGATTAGCTGGATTTTTCAATTAGACTACAACATATATTATATATTCATAGTATATTCATTCATCACAGAATATTAAAGCCAGTTTTTTAATCATTTCAGATTTATTCTTATAATTTCGTTCAAGTAATCCATGTAAAGGGGTAAATTGGTTGTATGTTTAAAGCACAATGAATTTTTAGTGAAAACATATGTCAAAGAAGCATCAAGTATGAGTTTCTCTAACTTAACATTTTAAAACGTATAAAATATTCTTTAACTTTAATAGCGATTAAGATAACATATAAATAAATACTAAAAGAATACACTCGCATCAAAAAATAATCCTAATATTACCATTTTACTAAATTGACTATCTGATGATCAGATACGAAAGACCGTGTAGAATCATTTATGCTTTTGCTCAGTATGCTCAGTACGCTCGATAATTAACACTAAACGTACCATAACCGGTCAAATGACTGTTTAAGAACATCGAAAATGCGCTTATCATCTTATCGTTGTTGCACATTTGACTTCATTACTTTTTCTAACAATTGCATACGGTTAATATTCTATTATTCCGTTTTTTTTGTATTTTGTTTGCTTCGAATAATACTTGTCGTACACCTATTTCTACCACAACCTGTCATTCGACCGGGAGAACAATTCTTTTGCTTTATAAGGTTATCGGAACAGAAATTATGATGTAATGCGTGTTCAACGTATTGCATTCGCTTAATTGCACATTTCTGCAAAGACTGTTGCGCAGTTAGTTCAATCAAAATAACTGTCAATTCAAATTTCAAGAAAGTACCTAAAATTTTAGATTGGCATATTTTTGTAAGAAAAAGTGACAAAAACTAAATGTTTTGGTAAGTAGCTTACATTTTATTTTAATAGCTTTACTTCATTTCTAAGTAACTGTTAGTTTCTACCCAGAAAAATGTTGAAACAATCAAGACAGCACAAGTTCTTAGAAGGAATTATGTTAATTATAAGAATTATAATTCTTCTATATTCTTATAATTATAAGAATAAGTATAAGAATTACAGAAATAATAATTAGAAGAGATATGTTTGCGGAAAATGTACATTGCGTTGAGCAATGAATTAAAAATTCTTAGTGTTTGTAATACATAAAAATTGGCAATCTACAATTTTGTTTAATTATAATAAAGTTTGTTTTAGTTTATTTCCTTCCTAACATCCATATTTCATACATTCAATCAAGAAACTTAAAGTCCGGTCATTTGACCGGCTATGGTAAAAATAGGTATAGATTAAGTGCTGGTATGTTTAGTGTAAATAATCTTATAAATGTCTTCATCTCAACTGAATGTTACACTCAACATCTTCCTCAGTTCTACGCGATTCGTTTCTACAGTTAGTATATCTAAAATCTGTTGACTTTTACAAACAAAAATCAAATTTGTTTGATGGTGATAGCAATAATATACAGCCATTATAAATTATTGTAATATATTAGGTTTTGCTTTCAGCTTAATACATAATTCGGATGAAAGCGAATATTAAACAAGATAAACGATAGCAAGATAGCCTTAGAAAATAAAGTTCTATTAAAATTAGTGTATTGTATGGTAATGACATTTCTGGTAAAAAAAAGCCATAATGAAATCCCATTATTTACGGTATTTAAGCCATGCATTTCGGTAATTTTTCCGTTCATATGTTAACGATATACCTTAAATTCTGGTTTTCAATTTTTTTTTCTTATTAGCACGCATTTAGTAAAAATTACAAAACTGAAAAGTAAATTTTACCAAATAAATAGTTTTTATGCCATTCTGTAAAGTATGATAAAATTACCAAATATATCACATAAGATAAAACCATATTTTATTGTACCAAAATCATAACCAAAGCGTTTCGACAAGAAACAAACATTATCAGATTTGAGCCGTTTTAGAACATGCAATATCTCCAGTTGAAAAATCACTATCGTTATTAGTACATATTTCTGAAAATTTGCTCTGTTATAAAATCGGCAATGAAATTATCAACGCATCATGCTTATTTATCTACCGAAGCTTTAAGTTTATCAAAAATATAAAAAATATCATTAGTGGCTTTGTTTTTTTTTTCTGACTAAGAAACTGACTTTTCTATCTCAGACTGACTGAGAAATTTATTTATTATTTTGCATAAAGCACTAATTGCAAACTTTCCCAAAAGCTTTACAATTTCTAGAGCCATCCTGGGGGTACCATCTGTTGTTTGCCAATGTCAGTAAATTTCAATAATAATTTTTGCAATATTGTTTTAAAACATTAATGACCAAGTGGGGTCATTTCAGCAACCCCACATCAATTGGTATTTTTTTATTAATTATTTTTTCATGAAATAATCGAAAATTTCAGAAATATTAATAAAATAGGGCACTCAGCTAAAAAATATTAAAGTATTATACTGTTTTTAAAATGAAATATTCACTAACAATGGGTATTGGGGTCACT